GTTACTTTCTTGCGGCTGCACCGACCACTGCGTATGAGAGGGGAGTCGTCTGAGTGTGGGTCGCGGAGTTGTTTCTGTGGCGAAGGGGGAGGGCGGGGTACTTGAGGGGGGGGGAGGGGGGGAGGGAGGGGCAGACCGTGGGGGGGGGTGGGGGGGGTGGTCTGCAAAAAAATCTTTTTTGGGCCTCATTTTGGTTGAAAAATAAGGGGGGATCCACCACTGTTGTTGCCTGCAAACACCAGCTAGGATGAATCTGGCTAAAATACGTCTCTGTTTGCAGGCTTTTAGGGATTTTACCAAGTTTTGAATTAAAACCTAACAATAAAAGTAAATAAATGGAGATATCGAAGAACTTGCTCATGTCAGCACCAGGACTTGTTTGTAAGCAATATTTTTTTACATACTGCAACAAGCCGAAAAGTAACTTAATACTTTTTAGGTGGAGAGAAGCAACAAATCAAAATACGACTGGTTTTCTATCCAAGCGTGTTTGTAGTTAAAATACACTGACAAAATCAGGCAGAAGAGCTATGGAAGGAAAATGAAAAAAGAACACCAAAACAGGAGGAAAGGGAAGTAAACCTTAAACGGAAAATCTTGTTCTCAGAAATACATGTGTCAGATACTTTTCACTCCTTAACACTCATGTTTAAGAATTAATATTTATTGTCATGGTCTTACAAATAATTAATTTAAATTTCATTTGCCTTATAGTCAGATTTCCCAAAAGATTCTGATATGGTGGAGTCGTTTGAGTGTCAACAAACACAGACAAACAGGCATGTCAATAATCTTTAGTTATCAGGAACAAAACTCCTACATAAAAAATTAGTATTTAAGCTTTGAATATGTAAAATGTTTAAAAAGTGGATATGTGACTAATTTTTATAGAAAATAAAGTGCATACTGCATTAATCAGACCCAATGATAACCTAGCATTAAGCCTTGGAATCATATACACATGTACAAAAGTGAAGGTGATGTTACACTGTTGCAACCATTTGAATCAACGTCACATAAAAGTCGAAACACAGCATTGCGATAAAAATCGTAGTTACAAATCATATCATGTAACATCCAGTTCGGGTCCACTACAGGTCTCTCTGTATAGGGAAAAAAGCTTAGTGTACTAGCTGGTGCATACATGTATCCTCTGCATATGGGCTACGCTTAATACAAGTGTTACTGTAGCTGTTGTGATTTAATTTTATCCTTGGTTTATATTTTGTTTTCCATGGCTTTGGCATATGTATGATAATCTATGATAATTATTTTGAAATAAAGGTAAATAAAATTTAAACCACGGATAAAATTAAACCTCAAAACAGCCGTCGTAACTACCGTTATGAACAGCAATGAACAGAATTTGACTGCTTATGAAAGCTTGCATCTTACCAAAAATACTTGTACTCAGAGTTTCTGGCAAGATGCGTTAAATCGTCAGCAGTTAGAATTTTGGCAAATAAAAACTTTTTTCTCTTGCAAGATATAAAATAAGCCTTCTCAAGCCGTCTACCAAGGCACTCCAACTTTCCAGCAAAATTTCCATTAGAATGGACAACAGAGGATTTCTTTCTTTGCAATATATGATCGTAAATGAAGACGGACAGGTCTGTTTTGTAGAATATCTGGTAAGTATGACTGTACGAGGGTGGTAAATGAAAGTTCTTTTACCCTTAGGATGTGAAGGTGATGACAGTGAAAGTGATGAAGATTATTATTTTTGGGGATGATGATAATGATGATGATGATGATTGTGATTGTGATGATAATGGCGGTCCCGTCTTCATAAGGGGACGTGTCCTCAATCAGTACTTTTGTGTTGAGTAACTTGACTTTTAAATAAAGTAGTTTTTCCGTTTCGCTTGCCTTTAATTAAAAACGTTTTAAGCTCTCGTTTGCCAGTTATAAACACCTTTACTCAGTCTTTGTGATTCGACTTTGATCGTTCTAAAAGGTGAGATTATTGGCGTTACCGTAGTACACCTAACTTTCTTTTTATGTCACTAGTGCGCACCGGACGAAGAAGTAGACGAGGAGGAGGAAGAAGAACTTGGTTAAACGAGAAACAGGAAAAGAAGAAAACCAAAATTTTTCTTTCGTTGTAAAAGCAAAGAAATTTTTGCCGAAAAGTTTTGCAAGTATATGTACAAATTAAAATATTGTATTGCTTTAACTTCCACTCAGATTAAAGCGTGTTTTACAAATAAATGGATTTGCAGTTGAACACTGACATAAGCCTCAACCAAAGACCTCTTCCAACTCATTCTCATTTAAGTAGACCTCATTTCAATGAAAGTACTTTTTCTCTTTAGCCTGTTCACAGACCCTCTATAAACCGCGGGATATTTATTGACCACTGGCGCGTAGGGGAGTGGGGTTGGGTAAATGGGAAAATAGACGCTTTTCTCGCGCTTCGCGCTCGGCCGCCGCATCGAGAAAAAATCGTCTGTGGAAAGGCTGTTTCATTGGTTGA